CCCTTGGACAACTGACAACTTCCAGAATTAGCTACATGGGCCTACCCCAAGGCTCATGTCTCAGCCCTCTTCTTTATAACTTTTATGTCAAAGATATCGACAACTGTTTGGCAGAACAATGCACGCTAAGACAACTTGCAGATGACGGTGTGGTTTCCGTAAGAGGTCCACATGCCATGGACTTGCAAGGACCATTGCAAAGTTCCTTAGATAACTTGTCTTCTTGGGCTAGGAATCTAGGGATCGAATTCTCGCCGCAGAAAACTGAACTGGTAGTGTTTACTCGAAAGCGGTACCCAGCCCAAATGCAACTTAATCTTTTGGGCAGAAACATTACTCAATCATTGTCTTTCAAGTACCTTGGGGTCTGGTTTGATTCAAAGTGCACTTGGAATACCCATATTACGTATTTGAAGCAAAAATGTCAGCAGAGGATCAACTTTCTCCGTTCAATTTGCGGCACATGGTGGGGTGCTCATCCGGGAGACCTCATAACGCTTTATAAAACAACAATTCTCTCTGTTCTAGAGTACGGCTCTTTCTGCTTTCTCTCGGCAAGAAAATGCCACCTTATAAAATTGGAACGAATTCAATATCGTTGTCTGCGTATTGCTCTTGGCTGTATGCATTCAACGCATAACATGAGTCTCGAGGTTCTGGCAGGAGTAAAACCCCTCCAGAACCGTTTCTGGGAGCTCTCTCTCAGAATACTAATCAAATGCGGAGTGACGAACACACTTATAATTGCAAATTTTGAAGAAATTTTTGAGCTGAACACACAATCTCGATTTATGAGAATCTACCACCACTACATATCCTCGGATATGTGTCTTCCTTGTTATACTCCAGACCGTGCTCACTTCACCAATCGCAGTTCCTCAATTGAATATGATATGTACATGAAACAAGTGATTCATGGGATTCCAGATCAACTTCGAACTATTATTATCCCGCGTATTTTTACTGAAAAGTACCAACACGTCAATTGCGTGAAAAGATATTTTACAGACGGGTCACGTCTCAATGGATCCACTGGCTTCGGTGTCTTCAATGAAAACTCTAGCGCATTCCGCAAACTTCAGGAACCTTGTTCTGTTTATGTTGCTGAGCTGGCAGCAATCAACTTCGCATTGGGGATGATTTCCAACATGCCCGCAGACCATTACTTCATCTTCTCGGATAGTCTCAGTTCGATTGAGGCGTTCGGTCGATGAAACCAAGTAGGCACTCATCTTATTTCCTTTCAAAGGTAAGGGAGCAGATGAGTGTACTGGTCGAAAGATCATATATGATTACCTTTGTATGGGTCCCCTCACATTGCTCAATCCCAGGCAATGAGAAGGCGGACTCTCTCGCAAAGGTGGGCGCGCAGGAAGGCGAATTTTATGTCAGGCAAATTTCACACGATGAATTTTACCATTTAGTGCGTCAGAGTACCCTTTCGAGTTGGCAAACCGATTGGGACAATGGAAATCTTGGACGGTGGTTACATTCAATTATTCCTAATGTTTCTTCGAGAGCGTGGTTTAAAGGCTTGGGCTTAAGTCGTGACTTCATTCGCGTGATGAGTAGACTTATGTCCAACCACTACTCGCTAGATGCGCATCTCAATAGAATAAACCTCGTGGACAGCAACATATGTCGGTGTGGAAACGGTTACGACGACATCGATCACGTAGTTTGGCAATGTACGGATAATGACGCCGCCAGAGAGCGACTTTTGAATACCCTCGAGGCCCAAGGAAGACAACCCTATATTCCTATCAGAGACGTGTTGGGTACCCGCGATCTCTGCTATATGCAGTCGATTTATGTGTTTCTGCAAATGTCTAGTATAAGAATTTAATTCGTTTGTCTTTTGTCTCTCTTTATTAGTTTTTGTTTGTCTTGTCCCCCGTCTCGATGAGTCTCATCGTCGCCCACTGGTCACCATAGCCGGTCGAACTCCAGACGAATCTAGAACCACACTACCGTTCATACTGGCGACATCACTCTGATGAGACAACGAAACCCTACCCAAGCTCCTCCCCTTTTCCTATCCTTCGACAATGTACCCCTCTAACCTCGAGTAAGCCGCGAGTAATCGGCCCAACTCCTACTAGACATAGAATTAAGTGAATTTTGTTACAAACAAAGAACAATGAATTATCGGCTCCGTAAAGCTAACGCGATTGAGCCTTACAAATAAACGAACTAGATAAAAAAAAATCACACTGCCCACAGAGCTCACATGACTCTTATAAAGTTTTATTAAATTTTTGTTTCAGCAACCCAGTTTTGGCATTATTAATATCAAATAAAAACACTTTTTCGAGCATCACGCTCGATGATTTACATTATCCGCCTACTAAGGTTGATGTTTCAACAGTTTCATAATTATAATTCTTAGTTTGTTTTCAGTAGGTGGCAACACCTTTACTTGAGGTTCAAACAGTAACTACCTACGTGACTTCTGAGCTCTTTTGAATGTTTGGCTCCCGTTTGACAGTTTGACTCGGCTCCCAGATGACAAGCATTTTGAGTTAGTTCGCAGTACTCAGCAAAAAATCTGTGATTCTCGGTAGGAAAAGTGAAAAATCGTTAGTTTTTAACCTTTTGTCTGTGAATCAGTAGGCATCCCGAAAATCGATAGGACTACCGATAAATCGGTAGGTCTGGCCACCCTGCATCTCTATACATACATATACATAGTATACATAGTAAAAAAGGAAGTAAAGCGGATTAAAGTAGATTTGATTAGAAATACTCAGAGGGAGAGATGGGCGGAGAGAATGTTTTGAGCCAAATGAACTGTCAAAATCTGAGCCAATCGAACATTCGAATTTTCCGATGATTTCTTATTCTTACTGGAATAAATTTGAGAGTATTGCAATCGAACAGAAATTCAATCACTTTTATGTTTTGTGTGCTTCTCAAATTCAACTAGTTTTTGAACCAAAAACAATATTCTAACTCTATTGATTTATTGATCTTCGTTGGTTAATGAATGGCACCAAGAAATGTGCAAAATATTGCGATGCAATCAATTATTATTTTGCACGTAAATCGAATCAAAAATAAAAGTCATTTGAAATGCTAGCTTCTAACAAGGGTTGCAAGATAATTTAGAAACAAATCCCTGCTGCCGAATTGTATTTTGTTTTCTCCGCCTATCTCTCCCTCTGAGTATTTGTAGTTTTGATTTACTTGATACTCAAAAATAAATAAAATCAAAAAAGCTTCAAAAGTATGCAAATTCTCCCAGCGGTGCCGGTGGTGTAGTGGTAAGCGTGATTAACTCTCACTCCAGCAGGTCTGGGTTCAATCCCAGTCGGCGCCGCCGGGATTTTCTGAGGCATAACATCTCTCCTTCGGAAGGGAAGTAAAGCCGTTGGTCCCCCGAATAGAAATTTACATTAGCCCAACGTTTGATTTTGATGTCTACATCAGCATCGAAATCAAATGTATGCCTGATGTCAAACATTAGAAAACATTATGATTTAGTTGTATTTAAGCAACGTAACATGGTGTATACATCAGAAATTTTGGAACAAAATTTTGCCATTCTAATGTCGGTCTGACGTCAAAAATTTCAATCTATTGACATTAGAACCAAACGTTTTAAGGATGTTTTCGGATGTACAAAACGTTAGAACTAAACGTTGTTCGGATGTTTTTATATGTAAACGTTTTCTGATGTTTTCATATGTAGATGTTTCCTGATGTTAAAACCAAACGTTTTTGGATGTTTTCAGATGTAAAAAACGTTAGAACTAAACGTTGTTCGGATGTTTTTATATGTAAATGTTTTCAGATGTTTTTTAATGTAGATGTTTCCTGATGTTAGAATCAAACGTTTTTCGGTTGTTTTCGGATGTAAAAAACGTTAGAACTAAACGTTGTTGGTATGTTTTTATATGTAAATGTATTCTGATGTTTTCTAACGTAGATGTTTCCTGATGCTAGAACCAAACGTTTTTTGGATGTTTTCGGATGTACACAACGTTAGAACTAAACGTGGTTCTGATGTTTTCAATTGTACTTCGTGTTTGTTGTTCTCTGATGTTTTCAGATGTACAAAACGTTTGAAGTAAACGTTGTTTGAATGTTTTCAAATGTATAAACATCTACATTTGAAAACATTCAAACAACGTTTCCTTTAAACGTTTTGTACATCTGAAAACATCAGAGAACATGTTTTTAGATATACAGAACACTAGAATCTTACTTTTCAAATGCTTTCAATTATATTTACAACACATTAGAATTAGAAACATGATCGTGTAAACACTACACACCATAATTGTTAGATAACATCATAAAAATGCGTACATAATAGTCAATGCTGAAGCTCCCGTTTCCCACCAGTCAGTTAACTGACCTTAGCTAACCTAATATCATTGCGGCAACTCTCTATGCGGCAGGGGAACTATGCCATTAGCGCGCTAAGAGTTGTTAGACCACTGACATAGGCGCCAATTTGTAGGTGACGAGGCACTTGGTGACATTACAGCGAGCTTGACGATTGTTGCAGCATTTTTTTTTAGCAAACTACCAGTTAAGGTTTGTAGTGTTTACAAGATCATGTTTCTAGCTGTAATGCTTTGTACAATTGAAAGCATTGGAAAAGTTAATTCTCATGTTTTGCACAACCAAAACCATCAGAAAACATAAAATTGTACAAAAAAAATCATCCATTCTGGTAGATTATCTCTTAAATGCATACAGAATAGCCATTGCTTAAGCTCCCGTTTCCCACCAGTCAGTTAACTGACCTTAGCTAACCTAATATCATTGTGGCAACTCTCTATGCGGCAGGGGAACTATGCCATTAGCACGCTAAGAGTTATTAGACCACTGACATAGGCGCCAATTTGTAGGTGACGAGGCACTTGGTGACATTACAGCGAGCTTAGCGATTGTTATAGCATTTTTGAGTAAACTACCAGACAATCATGACAATGTGATAGCTGCGCCTCCAGATCTCCCTTTAAATCAACCCGCTGTGCCAATTTGCCAATAATGCAAGACACTTTGGACGGGGTTGCTGGCTTGTTTGGTCCACTGTTACAAGTGGCAAGCCTTCCCCTTCACGGATCGCTCCAAAAATTGCTGCCTGTTCCACAGATGATCCAAAAATGCGGAAAGTTTTGGGCTGCCTTATTGACGAACTGCAAATATATAAAAAACAAAATTATTGTGCACGAAAAATATGACAATAGACAATGCTCGAGAAGCACTGGGAGTTTTCGAACGACGCGTGCTTAGGACCATCTTTGGCAGGGTATATGAAGTGTATGTGTATGGAGGAGAAGAATGAACCACGAACTGGCGTAACTTTATGGCGAACCCAATATCCAGAAAGTCGCTAAAGGTGGAAGGGTACAATGGGCGGGACACGTTGTAAGAATGCCGGACAACAATCCCGCAGAGAAGCACAGCGTGCTAGGTGGTTAGACCAAGTGGAGCAAGATGTAGGAAGTGTGGGACGCTCGAGAAATTAATTATATGATTTGAGTAGTAGCTATGCTGAAGATCCGAGAGATGTCGTCCCTTCAGTGGTAGGAAAATCATTTTTGCAGTATGAAGAATATCAGAAAATCCACGATTTGTGACTAATTTTCATTACGTCGAATGTAACAAAGGTAAACAAAGTCGAGCTATCAGTGTCAATCGATGCTCCTGCTATTACACTATATACTGTCCGAATATAGGATCACATCCCATTTTTTAATTTATTTACCAGTCAAATTGCTTTTTGACGTAATCACCTTCCGATCAAAATAGTTTTCGATGTTACTTACGTCACCCGATTTCTATGGACATGCCGTTTGCCTTAAGTAACAGCACTGAGAAACCCGTGAAAAGTGTACTTTCGTCGTTTCGCTTTCTCATTATTAAAGTGAATAAATCGAACTGTTTGTTGCTAAGATGATTTCGGTGGTCCTAAAATGATGAATGGGCTGCACGTAAGGAGACATAATTGATAATTCTCCCGAAAATCCTGGTAAATACACTTTGACTTAAGTAACAATAGGGGCCACCAAACGACGTATAAGAACTAGCTAGCGATTTGCCTTTGTATGATTAAAACCCGGCTAAATATGTTAAACATTGCTATCACTATGAGATTATATGTGTTTAATTGGAAATAGGAATAACTTTTCGGTCATCAAAACAAAACTTTATTTTTCTCGGATCGGTGCGAATGTTACTTACGACATAATGAAAATTTGCTCTTGAAATATGCTTTCACAGAAGGAAACAAATAAACCAGTGTTTACCTTATCACTATAGTAATGTACTCGTGCAATTTTTGGGCACCTAAAACTGCCCATAAAGACTATAATGAATAAAAACTGGAAATTTTCATGCATTTCCAAATGGTTTCCCACCATAGGCGAATCCAAAAGAAACTAAGCGATCGTTTCAGCCTCTTGCGGTTAATAGGGGAACCCTCAAAAGAGTGATGAGGGTGGAAATTTTCACCGTGAAGCATAGGAGGAGGACAATATTTTCACCTTCCTGATTAATTTATCCACCGCAGGTGCTTGAAATCATCATCCACGTGGAATATTTTGTTTTCCGTATCGGGTTTGCAGTGATCTGGCTGGTGCTTCCATATATTTTTGATAAGAAAAATTAAGATTTATTAAATTGTCCCAGCGGTTATGATCTTCCGGATTTTTAATGTGTGGTTATTTCAGCTGTAAATCAGTTCAGATCTGTAGTTAATCGAACAATACGACCACTCCCGATGGAAATTTACAAGTTGTGCAATAAAATGTACATTGTTTTGAGTTTTGAAAATCGTCATTATGATGTAAACAAATGGATTGGATGACATTTCCTTTCAAAATCGGCTAGCGCACTCTACATTGATGGTGTATGAAAAGAGCCTATTCCCATACATTCGAAGTGACTGGCCCTCTGGATTTGGATGATGTCAAAAACCACAAAACATGATTAATTGGAGACAAGCAGCCAGGGACCGAGTTAGTTGGCACAACTTTGTTATACATGTCAAATCTTGAGGGACATCGGACCAGCAAAAGTAAAGTATCTTATACGTTGGCCAAATTGTTATCCGAACTGCTTAAAAATTCGAAGAAATAGTTATTGAATAGTACAGAATTCTAAATTGATGTTATTTATGAAAAATTTACATTAGAATTGTGCTTTCTTAAATCTCAGTCTTTCCCTGATTGCGAACCACACTTTAAATTTTATATAAACTTGTGGCCCATTTTGTGTACCATCATAATGCTTGATGAAACTTATTCCGCCCGGAAACATGTTTTTTCGGAATTATGAAGTCATTATACGTTATGATGACATTTTGTATTTTTAAGTTACAAGAGGACGTTGCAAAGGATGAGTTTGACGTATAAAACCTGGGCATTTAATTTTCAGAGAGTCACAATCAGCGAATTCATTAAATCAAGAGCAAATTTTCATTACGTCGAATGTAACAAAGGTAAACAAAGTCGAGCTATCAGTGTCAATCGATTCTCCTGCTATTACACTATATACTGTCCGAATATAGGATCAAATCCCATTTTTTAATTTATTTACCAGTCAAATTGCTTTTTGACGTAATCACCTTCCGATCAAAATAGTTTTCGATGTTACTTAAGTCACCCAATTTCTATGGAGATGCCGTTTGACTTAAGTAACAGCGCTGAGAAACCCGTGAAAAGTGTATGTTCGTCGTTTCGCTTTCTCATTATTAAAGTGAATAAATCGAACTGTTTGTTGCTAATATGATTTCGGTGGTCCTAAAATGATGAATGGGCTGCACGTAAGGAGACGTAATTGATAATTCTCCCGAAAATCCTGGTAAATACACTTTGACTTTAGTAACAATAGGGGCCACCAAACGACGTATAATAACGTTGGACTCAAAAACCAGTATTTTTTAGCATGAAAGCTAGCGATTTGCATTTGTATGATTAAAACCCTGCTAAATATGTTAAACATTGCTATCACTATGAGATTATATGTGTTTACTTGGAAATAGGAATAACTTTTCGGTCATCAAAACAAAACTTTATTTTTCTCGGATTGGTGCGAATGTTACTTACGACATAATGAAAATTTGCTCTTGAAATCACTTATGGCTGTACACAGCAAAAAAAAATGTAATATCGATCAACGTAATTCAAGCTGATGTATGAAATAATGATGTAATAGCAAGAAGCAGATACAATAATAGCAACAATCAATACGAAACTAACGATTTTAAATTGGCTGAATACTTGACTAGCCTATTGGTCCCAAGCAAACGATTAACGTACCCCATTCTAGTCAAAATTCTAGTACTTCACAATGTTTGTTTTGATTCGCTATGAAAGTTTGACAGATAAAATGAGGGGTTAGTGGATTTTCCTATGTTTCGAGGGGTGAATCGATTAGCTTGGGACCGAAGATAGTACCAGAGCTGAGCCAAAAAGTTAAGCACGTTTCTTCGGGACCTACTAGTTTCCCCATCGGGATCCGTATTCGGTTTCCCCATCGGGATCCGTATTCGGTTTCCCCATCAGGATACGTATTCGGAATCCCCATCGGGATCCTTCTACGGAATCCCAATCGGGATCCGTATTGGATTTCCCCATTGGGACCCGTATTCGGTTTCCCCATCGAGATCTGTATTCGGTTTCCCCATCAGGATTCGTGTTCGGTTTCCCCATCGGGATCCGTCTATGAAATCCCCATCAAGACCCGTATTGGGTTTCCCCATCGGGATCCGTATTCGGGTTCCCCATTGGAATTCGTATTCGGTTTCCCCATCGGGATCCGTCTACGGAATCCCCATCAAGACCCGTATTCGGTTTCCCTATCGGGATTCGTATTCGGTTTCCCCATCGGGATCCGTATTCGGTTCCCCCGTCGGGATCCGTATTCGGTTTCCCCATCGGGATTCGTATTTGGTTTCCCCATCGGAATCCGTCTATGAAATCGCCATCAAGACCCGTATTCGGGTTCCCCATTGAAATTCGTATTCGGTTTCCCCATCGGGATCCGTCTACGGAATCCCCATCAAGACCCGTATTCGGTTTCCCCATCAGGATTCGTGTTCGGTTTCCCCATCGGGATCCGTCTATGAAATCCCCATCAAGACCCGTATTGGGTTTCCCCATCGGGATCCGTATTCGGGTTCCCCATTGGAATTCGTATTCGGTTTCCCCATCGGGATCCGTCTACGGAATCCCCATCAAGACCCGTATTCGGTTTCCCTATCGGGATTCGTATTCGGTTTCCCCATCGGGATCCGTATTCGGTTTCCCCATCGGGATCCGTATTCGGTTTCCCCATCAAGACCCGTATTCCGTTTCCCCATCGGGATTCGTATTCGGTTTCCTCATTGGGATCCGTATTCGGTTTCCCCATCGGGATCCGTATTCGGTTTCCCCATCGGGATCCTTATTCGGTTTTCCCATCGGGATCCGTATTCGGTTTCCCCATCGGGATCCGTATTCGGGTTCCCCATTGGAATTCGTATTCGGTTTCCCCATCGGGATCCGTCTACGGAATCCCCATCAAGACCCGTATTCGGTTTCCCCATCGGGATCCGTATTCGGGTTCCCCATTGGAATTCGTATTCGGTTTCCCCATCGGGATCCGTCTACGGAATCCCCATCAAGACCCGTATGCGGTTTCCCCATCGGGATTCGTATTCGGTTTCCCCATCAAGACCCGTATTCCGTTTCCCCATCGGGATTCGTATTCGGTTTCCCCATCGAGATCCTTTTACGGAATCCCAATCCGGACTCGTATTGGATTTCCCCAATGGGACCCGTATTCGGTTTCCCCATCGAGATCCGTATTCGGTTTCCCCATCGGGATTCGTATTCGGTTTCCCCATCGGGATCCGTCTATGAAATCCCCATCAAGACCCGTATTCGGTTTCCCCATCGGGATCCGTATTCGGTTTCCCCATCGGGATCCTTATTCGGTTTCCCCATCGGGATCCGTATTCGGTTTCCCCATCGGGATCCGTATTCGGTTTCCCCATCGGGATCCGTATTCGGTTTTCCCATCGAGATCCTTTTACGGAATCCCAATCCGGACTCGTATTCGGTTTCCCCATCGGGATCCGTATTCGGTTTCCCCATCGGGATCCGTATTCGGTTTCCCCATCGGGATCCGTATTCGGTTTCCCCATCGGGATCCGTATTCGGTTTCCCCATCGGGATCTGTCTATGGAACCCGTCATCGGGATCCGTCTACGGAACCCGTTATCGGGATCCAATTACGGAACCCATCATTGGGATCCGTCATCGGATTTCCAACGGGGTCCACTTCAACTTAGTATTTAGTATTTCCGGAGAACTTTGAGATTTGGACGTAATTGCTTTTGTAAACAAACACGTCTATCGCCGATTAATCGTAAATTGAAACTTATTATCGCGAACAAACCATACTAAATGATAAAGGAATCGTTTCTCTACCTGTTTGTGCCGTTAATTTTTTAGATTGAGCTTTAATTGGCGATTGACGTGTTTGTTTACAAAAGCAATTACGCCCTAATCTCAAAGTTCTCCGGATTTATTTATTTATTCGTCCATAAAAAAAACACATGCACTAACCTGCAGAGATCCGGCTTCGTACTCCCCGCCGGGTTCCAGCGTCGGACTTCCTACCGGGATCCGGCCTCGGACTGGTGCACTTTTCTAAAAAAAAAACTTAATTACATTAAATAGGTACATTAATTCACATTTACTTACCTGAAAAACAGCCTTGCTGATTCCCGGACTAATTTGCCAAAACAACACACACCGCGAAAACACGGCCAATGTGATCGACGCAAATTTGAATACAGTGTACTCAAAATCAAAAAAAAAGTGCAGGAACGCAACGATGAGTAAATTTGCCTCGAGATTTGCCTCATGTTTTCCTGTGGAAAACCTCAAAAATCTTCCAGAAAATTAGGATTGACGAAAATCCACAGAATCCAATCTTTACTTTTCTTATTTTCGGAAAAATTTTCCTGGAAAAACCTGGAAAACCTGGAAAAACAGAGGGAAATTAACTCAAAACTGAGTTCCTGTACTTTTTGCGATTTATGAGTGAACTAAACTCAAATTTGGGTGTTCTCATTTGCCGTGTAGTGCTGACTCGGACAAAACAAACTTTGCATGCGCAACACGGTGTTTCTTGAAAACCCATTTATGGGTAAAAAAAATACCCATTTTCAAACCATGTATGCAGCTGTCAAAAAATGGGGGAATTTGGAAATCATAAAATGGGTGAAAAAATACCCATTTTATGAATCAGTTCACGATTGCATAATGGGTATATTTTTTACCCACTAATGGGTGAAAAAACACTTCGAAATTTTATCGTCTCATTCCGTCACCGACCATTAATGGCGGTAAGCTCCAACTCGGATTAACTTTTAATACCGTCCCTGTTTGTATGATCTGAAAAATGTTTGCTCAGAGTTATGTTGATTAACTCTGATGTCGACATCAAACCAGCCGGACATTCTTGATCGAGATTTAATCCGAGGATAATACCGGTTGGAGCTTACCACCATAAGAAATGCAAACAGTTTCTGTCCGCTTTTTTTTTTAGCAACAATGGACGATCTCCGGAAAAGGTTAGATTCCGAAACATTGGAGAGGCTTACGGATAAGTCTATTCAGTTTTATCCAATATGGTATTGTAATATCTCGTGTAATATTTTTTTTCGCTACAACTGCATTTATTTTCAATGTAAATATTTGAAAGTTTTTTATATCAACGAGGACAAATAACCCAGCACCAGCATCCTCCATTTGAAGCAATGGGTATTTTTTTACCCATTTTATGAAAAACACAATTTAAGAAGATGGGTAAAAAACACCCATTTATTGACAGATCCCCCTTTTACCCATTAATGAGTAAACCATAGTTTACCCATTAAATGAAGAGGGCACTTTTAGCGGAAATGGGTGTTTTTATACCCATTAATGGGTTTTTGCGAAACACCGTGAAGGACCTCAGGGACTCTAGTTTTCTTTTTGCGATTCAGCTAATAAACGCCAAATAACGCGAATTATTGACAGGTCAACATCAGTTGTTTGTAATGGAACGTCCATCTGACACCTACACCCTGAATAATTTTGGTATACGCTAATGCAGCAGCGATGTATAGAGCTTTACTTCAAAAATGAGAACGACAATGACCTTTCTGTCGTTCATAACACGCACACTTGCGCAATCCCATTATCAAGTGCGAAGTTTGTTATCCTCACTTTCGCTTCAGCCAGATATGCTGGTTTGTTATTGTTATCCTCACATTCGGACCATCAATACTCGAGCGCATAGAATGTACCGAGGAATGCATATGCATGCAGGCTGCGCCGGCCCATGCAGGGTGGCCAGATGGTTTTCTTCGTTTGCCTTGGAATTAATATTATCGTTTCAAATGAAAACCTCGTTGAAAACGTTCTGTATACGTTAAACATAACGTCGGACATAGTGTGCTGTATTCGTACACTGATGCGGTATACAGCACACTATAGAGATTGCTGAAGTTTATCGTACGCACACTACGTCACGTATACGTATACGCAAAATGTTTTCATCGGGAAAAAAAACTTCATAGCAGAAAATTTTCCCGATGAAAACAAATCACTGACACAATCATACTTTAGCAATCTCTATGGCCGACGTTATGTTTAACGTATAGAACAAGAGTAAAATCGGGTTTCAATTGAAACGATAATAATCAATTAAAACACTAATTAACTCTTGCACTGTAACGTCACCAGGGCATTTGTTTTACATACAAATAAACATTGACCACAGGGCATGCCACAATTTCCTTCAGTGATTTGAGGCTATGTCAGTCGTGTAAGAGTTAATGATGGTAAGCTCTACCTTGTAATCGCAATGTGCTATTTTATATGATTGCGCCGAGAATTGCGCATTGGGCACGGAAACACTAATAAAAGTGCGGTTTTACGTTAAATTGTTGTTGTGTCTTCATCGCACTTATTCCTTGGTGAATGAAGAATAAGTGCGCAGAAGGCGTCAAGACGATACAACGTCTAAGTGCACTTTTAGTAGCGTTTCCACTCTTCTAAAGAGTTCAATTTTATTTGCAATTGATAATGTCACAAAACTATGCATAGGAGGCATCACTGCACTGCAAGCCACTTTTTATTGTTGTGTCATAGGATGTATTCTAATGTTTTATGCGTGCAACAATTTACATCGTGATGAAGTTTGATTCTAATGTAACGTTAGGTTCTGATGTCATTGGATGTATTCTGATGTTTTATGCGTGCAACAAATTACATCGTGATGAAGTTTGATTCTAATGTAACGTTAGGTTCTGATGTCATTGGATGTATTCTGATGTTTTATGCGTGCAACAAATTACATCGTAATGAAGTTTGATTCTAATGTAACGTTAGGTTCTGTTGTCATTGGATGTATTCTGATGTTTTATGCGTGCAACAAATTACATCGTAATGAAGTTTGATTCTAATGTAACGTTAGGTTCTGTTGTCGTTGGATGTATTCTGATGTCAAATTTTACATCGTCAAGACGTTTGATTCTGATGTAACGTTTGAGGCTAATGTATTTTTATGTACTTGGACGTCACACTGAAGTCTGAATACATTAAGGGTACAGCAATATACGTTAAAATTTAATGTATTGAAGATGTCTGCTGATGTTTCCTACATTACAATTTCTATTCGGGCCCCGGTTCATGTGTTGATGGGTCGATAGGTAGAGTCCAGGTATGGGTGCTGCCTCCGTGGCGTCGGTAGCATTGGTGCTCAGCACGGGAAACAAGATCAACGGAATACAAAATCAAGGAAAAAAGTGCAAATTCCCGCTTCACCTTATTGAGTCTGAGCCATGATTACTTCGGCAATAGTCATGCATGATTAAGTTCGAAATAATTACTTGTTCAAATCTCACCCCGGACAATTGGGTTCTTTAAGGGTATTGAAGTAAATGCATATTCGTAATCTGCATTAAAAATGAAACCCAAACCCAAAATTTCATCAATTTTGGTACACTGGAACTATTTTAAATAAGTACGATAACATTTGTGAAAATCATCTAATTAGCGCCCCTCGGTTTCACTTTGTATGGGAGCGAGCTGTCAGTTTGTTAGTTTAGTGTCAAACAGTGAAGTTGTTATTTTGCTTTAAATCTTGATTTAAAAATCGAGATGAAAGTGTGTGAGTTCGAAAAAAATATCGCTGTGCTCAGAAAACAAAGCTCTTTCAGATGATGTATAAAAAACGATATATTTTTCAAAATTAAAGAACCCAATTGATTATATGATTTGAGTAGAAGCTATACTGAAGATCCGAGAGATGTCGCCCCTTCATTGGTAGGAAAATCATTTTTGCAGTATGGAGAATATCAGAAAATCCACAATTTGTGACTAAACATGCTTTCATAGAAGGAAACAAATAAACGAGTGTTTACCTTATTACCATAGTAATGTACTCGTGCAATTTTTGTGCATATAAAACTGCCCATAAAGACGATAATGAATTAAAACTGAAAATTTTCATGCATTTCCAAATGGTTTTCTACCATTCCCATACATTCGAAGTGACTGGCCCTCTGGATGTGGATGATGTGAAAAACAACAAAACATGATTTATTATCATCATCATGCGACATCCTTGTTGAGCTTTTACGGCAATCTCCCAATGCTTCACGGCGAAGATTTTTTCATAAGCGCTTCTTATGGTTCCCCTATTCACCACTAGAGGCTGAAACGATCGCTTAGTTTCTATTGTTTATTGTTTATTAGGTTCTACATCAACAGACTGGGTTTAGTCCCAATGATGGATAAAGCAATACTAAGTAGGAAATAGAATATAGTCAAGAAGTAATAAGCTGCAAAGGCCGTGAAGTCCAACTTAATTCCTAATTCTTCAAAATATATCACGGAATCTCTGACGCAGCGTCTCGCGTGCCAAGTGAAAATCCAATATGGAAGCAACACGATTGAAAACCCTTTGTAGCCCATTGATAGCACCATACGAACTATAGTTTGTACGACGAAAAGGTATCCTCAGCATTGCATTGTTACGCAGTGCTCATGGTTGAACGTTAACGTCGATTTGTTGTAGAATAGAAGGACAATAGATTCTGCCCTGTAGAATGTCTGCCACAAACAGGGCCCTTGTCGTATCTCTTCGACTCCACAAAGGATCCAGGTGAATTAACAAGCACCGACTTTCGTAGCTTGGAAGGCGATGAGGATCCTTCCAAGGCAATCGTCGAAGGGCAAACCAGATGAATCGATGGGATTCCATACAGGGCGGCAGTATTCTAACACCGTCCGGACGAGGGAGCAATAAAGCGACTTCAAACAGTAGATGTCCGTGAAACTTTTAGATATCCTGAAAATGAAGCCGAGCGTTCTGGATGCCTTGTCGATCACGTACGAGATATGCTGGCTGTATGTGAGTTGACAATCTAAGATGACTCCCAGATCCTTAGGCTGTGTTCCATTTGATGAATTTTTACTTAAATTTGACGCTTCGAAAATAAATTATAATGTTCGAAAATCCCTCTGTTGTTGATCGTCCGATTTTCGAGAACGTGTTTGTCAAAATTGATCCTGCTCTGTCAGAAATAAGTCTGGTACAATAGCAGGTTTATTTCAAAAATTTCCATCTATCAAATTTAAGTGAAATTTCACCAAATGGAACACAGCCTTAATGTGATTCACACGATGTACGTCAACGCCTACTAGGATATAACTGAAAGTAATTGGATGTCTCTTCCGTGAGAACGTGATTACTGAACATTTTGTTGGATTCACAACTATGCGGTTCAGTTGACACCAATTAGTAAAAGCGTTGAGTTGGAGCTGGAGAAGGTGGCAGCCAGCGATGGCTCGGATTCGGAGATAGATTTTCATGTCGTCTGCGAACGACAGTCGTGGACCGTCGAGAACGAAATCGACGTTGTTGAAATACACAAGAAATATCAACGGGCCGAGGTGGCTGCCCAACAAACAATTTGAGCTGCTTAAAGGTTGAATAAGCTATTTTTTAGCTGAAGAAGCAAATTTTTGACTGAATAAGCTCTTGTTATGCTTCCAATGTTTGTTGGGTGCCTTGCGGAATACCCGAAGTGGCAGGGAACGGAGATCGGCAGTCGTCGATTGCAACTTCCAACTGACGATCAGATAGATAGGATGCGAACCATCGTAGGAGACTGCCGTTAATACCAAGCGTATCCAGTTTGGCGATCGCTATAGGATGGTTTAACTTGTTGAAGGCGGCTTATAGGTCAGTGTAGATGACATCTGTTTGCATATGGTCTATTATAGTCTTCGTAATGTACTAGGTGAGACACAGAAGGTTGGAAGTAGTCGACCGTAATGCCATGAAACCATGCTGGTCTTCGCTCAAGTGCTGCTTGAAGTGAGAGACTAATGGTTCCATAACGACCAACTCGAACAGTTTAGATATGGCACACAACGATGTGATGCCGCGATAGTTGTCGATGTTTCTTTTGCATCCCTTCTTATGTACTGGAAACATCTCATCTGATTTCCAGCAGGAAGGAAACACCCCACAAGAGAGGGATATTTCGAATAGAAGGCAGAGAGTAGCCACTAGGCTATCGATTTGTTGCTTGAGAAAGACGAAAGGAACTCCGTCAGGTCCAGGCTTAAATGAAGACTTCAGTTGCGAAGCCGCCGTAGTTATCATAGCGAGGTCGATGTTGATAGCTGCCAAAGATTTACCAGACATTAGAACATAGAGAAACGTGCTCGTTTGGTAGGTTCTCATCCGAGAATACACTCGCAAACTTGGTTGAGAACAGATGGCAAATGTTCTGAGGTGATGAAGTTTCTTCGCCGTTCAATACCATAGTCGATGGAAGGCCAGACTCCTTTCGTTGCTCATTCACATAATTCCAAAAAGTTTTCGGGTAAGATCGAAGCTTCCGTTAAACATCTCGTTGATAACGCCGATAAGATTGGCGACTGGTTCGTTGATACGCACGATTTATCCTCGCATAATGGTCGTTGAGTTGTAAGCTGTGGTACTTGGTGTATTTTCTAAGCGCGGCTCTTTTGGAAGACTTTAACATACGGAGTTCACTTGTTTGCCAAGGATGATGATTACCTTGTTTAGGAACTTTTTTCGGAACGTGTCGCACATTGATGTAAGCCAAAAAATGCGAGAGCGTTTGGGCATCTACATTGACATCGGCAGGGACGATGAAGTTCCCCGATACTGTCGTGGTCAGCATTTCGAAAATCGTATGAGACCTCTAGGGGGGGGTAGAATGACCTCAGGAATTTGGTTGCCTTCAAGTGCAATAACTAAAGGAGGATGGTGTGGAACAGTCTTTATCAACGGAGAAACAGCCATAGACAAATGCGGAGCAGTATCCTGAGCGGTGACGAAGCAAAGGTCTAAGCTACGATTGTTCTCATTAACCACGTGGTTGATTAGCTTCAGAGTGACGATACTGTAATGATCCAAAAGGCTTACAGCTCCAGAGTGAAATGTAGAACGGTCATGGTCCAGGTACAGGAATCCACCGTAAGATGATCGCCAAGAAATTGCCGGTAGATTGGATTCGCCCTATTCAATTTTTCAACTGAAAATCAAGTTTTGAAGCATCTCAGATGAATCAATTTATCAGCAAAAGTGAAAAATTCAGTGCTAACATTTGAAAACGGCACAAAAGCCATTTGTAAACAAATGGTTTGTGGGCCCTTTACTCACTACTTGAAGTACACCCACGCGACACAACAGCAACATCGGGTAGGGGAAATTTTCCCCTTCCTGACGATGCTGTTGGTTTGCGTGGGCGTTCTTCGGGTAGCGAGTAAAGGGCCCACAAACCATTTGTTTACAAATGGCTTTTGCGCCGTTTTCAAATGTTAGCACTGAATTGTTCCACTTCCTATGTCTCACGGCAAACATTTCTGCTCTCAACACTCATTTTGAAATTCTCCTTTTCACGAGCCTTTTCACCACCAGAGATTGAATCAATCGCTTAGTTTGTATTAAAAAGGCGTATGCAGTGTTTTACTTTTGGCGTATAATACTGATGTTTATATCAGAAAGCAGCCGTTCCACCAGTCGACGAGTTGACCTCCACTCGAAAAGAGCGGTTTTAGATAAAATTAACCACTTCATGCGAGCAGCTAAAATTACGTTTACTACCACTCCAACTTTGAAATAAAACTTTATTTTGAATTTTTTCTTCTAGAACCTCGAGAAAAGTAGCCAAAATTTGTGCGTTTCATAAAAAAATAGAAATTAGTTTGTCCAGTTTTGTGAAATCGCTGGTAGAAAGTCACGCCAAAACTACTTGACAAAGTGGTCAATTGAAAACAAACTCGGTGACTCCTGCATACATAAATCCATCATGGCTGAATCATGAATTTTACCCAAGAGAAGAGGTGACAATACGGGGGCGAAAAAAGACCACTTTTCTGTCAAACGTGAACCAGCTCCTGATCGGCCGATTTCATGTGCGTAAGATAGAGACAGAGATAGATAAAGATAGAGATAGAGATAGAAATAAAAGAGGAAGAAGCCAATTGTCACCTCTTCCTCTTAGAATTTTACACACAAGAAACCTATATGTACTCACCATGGTGCAGGACTGAACGTCGGGCTGAACTGCCTGACTCTACTGTAAAAATCGACTCACATCCCTCACAGAAAGAACTTTGACAGCAGAACATGCTTTTCAAAAATTGATGCAATTTTGTTCATCCAGTTCGAAAGTTTCTGGTTGTGCCGATTTTCATTTAAAATACCATTTAAGTTGTAAATATACTCTACAAATAGTGAAAGCTTACGCATCTGCAATGTATTATGAATGAATTCTACTATCTGGACATTTCACTGTAAATAGAACTTCCTGTTATCATTCATTGTGAAAAAAGTGATTATGAAACATGCACATTTTCCCTCTTCCCGCTTTACCAGAAAACTAGCCGACGAACCGGATCAGCTGCTGCCAGTGTTCTTCAAAAGTTGTCTGGAACGATCTTTGATCAAAATATTCGGTGAAATCGGTGGCCAAACGACAGTGGACATTCTCAAATTCGACACCCCCCGAGCACGGGCCGTCGTACGGGTTCCATCGGATTTCTACGTCAAGTTTCGGGCGGCAACTTCGCTGACCGGTGAATTTCAGGGCATCCCCTGCAACTTTGTCGTCAACAAAGCTAGCCCGGTGCTGCTGGGGCTAGTCGAGACGCATTTGGAGTATTTTAAATCGAATTAGAGCCTCGCACGATGTCCTTGTGTAAAAGCTTCGGTAAGGATAAGGTGATCTTCGCCACCGCCGAGGACCATGCGATACCGAGCACGGTGGAACTGCCGGAACCGGAATCCAGCCCCGGGCTGATACTGGAGAACGGTGACATCAATTGGAACTGCCCATGCTTGGGCGGGATGGCAACCGGACCGTGCGGGGTTGATTTTCGCGAGGCTTTTTCCTGTTTCCATTACAGGTGAGGAAGGGTTGCCGTTTTTGAAGTTTGTATAAGTTGTATTAAATTTTTTTTATGTTACAGTGAAGCACAACCGAAGGGATCGGACTGTTACGATGCATTCAAAACGATGCAGGACTGTATGGCCAACTATCCAGGGGTTTACAAACAGAACCTGCATGATGACGAGGATGCCGGTGGCATGGATATGGGTGCCATGCTGGACGACGAGGAAGAAGACCCCGATAAGCAATCGCTCAAGCCGGAAGAGCCGGTTCCGTCGTCGGCTAGCGGAAGTAGCGAAGTACACTCGTCGAGCCCGGCTGGATCGTCCACGGTTGTTGCACAAAAAAGTTAATTAATTAGAGTTGGTCAATAGGAATAGTAGAGCTTTAATAAATGTGTTAGTATGGGAATTGGCTTCAATTGCTTCAATTCGAAAGTAACTTTTTTTTTAAAGTAAATTATCTTAAACATTGATGGGTGTTTTTTGATAGTGTTTGAAACTAAACTGCGGTCATACCTAGTTGCCAAAAAATTGAATTCCGGTAATTTCACAGGAAAATAAATGATTAAGTTGAATAAAATGTTGCTCATTTCTCACTAAACTGGACAGATAAGCGAGTTTTCACTTATTAAAAAGGGTGATACAAGTGCACACTTATTCCATTATTGCACCAGTTTAAGGGTACCCTAATAAAAAAATTATTCCACTTATTCTGTGCCACGAGTGAGGTGACATAAGTCACCGCAGTAAGGTGCCTCTCCGCGCAAATCAAATGGAGAGTCACCTCACTCGCGGTGATTGTTGTCACCTAACGATATAACGATAACCCAAATGATATAACACTCGTTTGTTGACTGACAAAAATATAAATAAACTCTTGTCCGGAAACTGAACTTCTCAAACAGCTTGAAGAAGTGCGATAAACTGACAAGATCACTATATATACACTTGTTAAGCGTCGTTCTTGCCTTGATGTCCGTGCCAAAAAACTGCTGTACAAAATCGTCTTCCGGCCAATTCTAACTTATGGATTTCAAGCGCGAAGCAAAACCGGTTGTTAAAAAAGATGATAAACCAGTTCTTCCTGTACCCTGCTTCACGAACAATCTGGAATTGAATTAATGGACGAATGGTTTCAACGGCTTCTCCCAAAATTCCATCTTGGATGCAGAACAGATAATTCTGCGCACTTTGTCAAAGTTCGGCCAGTATATTACAATTTTATTTAAATGAATATTTTTCCTATACACACGTGATTAATACCTGTTAATACCTACCTTCACGTACAATTCAATTCGAATTATATACAATTTATAATTATTTTAGAAATTTTCAATTTTGCACAGAATTGTGGCACTAAATAAATATATGGTTTGGATGATACCCCGAACACGTCGATAGCAAAATAACCATAAAAATGTGTACTAGGGTAAACCAACCAGACAATGAGTACCAAAATCAATGAGAGGTAGATGCGTTATCTGCGTTATATCAATGTCAACATTTCAAAGGGGCGTAATTGCTTTTGTAAACAATGACTTTAGCCGTCAATTTCTCGCGAATGAAATCTTAACTCTCCAAAATAACAATGCTAGCTGGTATCATTATTTTTCATGAGTGAGCTTTTATTCGCGAGAAATCGACGGCTAAAGCCATTGTTTACAAATGTAATTAAGCCCCTTTGAAATGTTGGCACTGATATATTGGATTTGGCAGCCACAGCACAGGATATCGTGGAATAAGTGCAACGAAGACAACAAAACGATTTGACGTAAACGTGCACTTATATCACACTTTTGGATTTTTGTAACAGTCCAGTCTAATTTTGCAACCAACAATTTCTAGCCAGGAAACAGCTTAGCTTTGCGGAACAATCGAACATCTTAAGGATTCAGCGAGGATTCAGATCATGGTCGAACTCGTGAAACAAACGTATTTTTCAGGGAGTCATTTTCCCGGAAATGAAAATTCTGAATATTTCACGGAAGCTGGCAACACTGTGCAAGTCCGTTGTTGACAGCTGTTTTGGTGACGAAGCTCCAAACAAAAACAGAGTTTCACGCAAATTTCCCGTTCGAAGTAAAAGTTTCAGTGATTTCGAATAGAAAACGTTTTTCATGGCGTAAAAGCTGAACATTAAACACCCGGATTGTCCTCTCACCCACCTATGGAAGCAAAGCTCAGCAGCTACCGATCGCAGAAACGTCGCCAGGCGATCCTGAATATCTTCAAAGATCGCCTCTACAATATGGTTTCCTTCCAGCAGGTTCGAGTGGACGAAAAATCAACCCACGTCATTGTCGAAGCCGATGTAAGTTTCTGTTTTAATATTTAACCCGCCGTCCCTTACTCAACCTACTCTCTCCCTCCCAGACCGACCCCCAACCGAGGTCGAAAGAGAACATCACTCCGGTTCACAAGGCCAAGTCCTCCGGAACGGTGCCGAAAAAACCCCGCCCGGTTTCGGAATCGGACTCGATTGTGTCCGTCGGAAGTACCCTGTCTACCGATTCGGACGATGATCAAACTAAACCGGACGCAATCGCGGCGAAACCGCCCCGTTCCTATCTGACCTACATCACGTATCTGGTCTATTTCTTTTTCTGGGTCACGCTGTATGCGATTGCGATCGAACTCCGCTTCGGGGTGGTGTTCTTTATGATGTCCGCCCTGCTGGGGATCTACTTCAATACCCGGACGGAGAAGACACCCGGCGAAATCAGTGCGTACAGTGTTTTCAACGAGAACTGCGAATCGATCGATGGGACGTTGAAGGCGGAGCAGTTCGAGCGGGAGATTGGCATACGGCACTGAACGGATGGGAAGGTGCCTTGTAGGGCGCCGTGTTTTCTATTAGGGTAAGTGACTTTTTACGAAAAGATTTTTATATTTTTTTTTTTGGCTAAAGATGTGAAACATTCTATTTATCTGAATTTCTTAGTAAAATATTTATATGAAAATCAGGGAAGGTTCGATTATCCGAAATGTCCACGGCATCAGCTTGATGTATAGGGTTTTGGTACATGTATCTGGGGACAATATATAGGGTAAATTGGTAGGTAGAAAATGTTTCCTGAGTGTAGAGGTGTAGATGTTTCCGCTCACAACTCATGGCTACTATTGGGGATGACTGGCATGGCTGTACAAATACGGAAGTCAAAAAACCTTGTAGGGAAAGCCCATAGGACTTGTCAATAAAGCTTTTAGAAGATCTGCAAAAGTTTAGGTAAAACTTCTATAATCCTTTAAGGAAAGCTATAGACAGAGACGTACTGATGGGATGGCGTAAACCGCCATCGTCAAGGGCGACAAGGCAAAGGGACGCTTTCAAAGAGGTATGCATAGCAACTTTTCCACTGCATTAATTTCGTTGATATTAAATCAATGAGTGTAATTCCTAGGGCCAAGGGACTCCTATGGAATTCTGGACAGTATTCCTAAAGACTTCCGGTCAGAATTTCAAAGTAATTTGCAAAGTATTCAGAGGCTTTCCGAGGAGAAGTTCAGGTGAATTCTCTGGAGAATTCCTATGAATAGAAGTACTGAATTCCATTAAGATTGTAAGGAGAAGTCCAAGAGTATTTCAAAGAAAATTCTGAGCAAGCTGTAAATCTTAGTCCGTCTCTCGGACTCTCAAGACAATTAAAAAAAAAAACAATTCATAGCTCCTACGCTTTATTGTGGTTTATAAAATGTCTCTTCAAACTATTTAATTTCTATGGATTTCTGACCACGACTCCAAGAAAACTCTGACAAGAGCTCTATAAATTCCTGACATTATTTCTAAGACAATTGTGATAATAATTCCTAGAAAATCTGGATATGAGAACAGTTCCAAAGGAACTCTAGGGTGAACAGTTTTTTTTTTTTGGAGAATATACCTACCGAGGGGAGATTGATTAGGGAATGCTGAGGAGAATTCCTAAGGAATAAGACTAGTAGTCATGGATGGAATTCTAAGATGGTTCTGACTCAGAGTATTTCACGGGGGATGCAAAGAGAATTCCAGGAACACCCTGAAAATTAGACTGTGAAGATTTGCAACGAAATTGTTAAGGTAGTCGCAGAGTTTAAAAAGTTCAAAATCTTGAATTTCGAATTTCTGTGTCTGGGGGGAAATGTCGGTTTCGGCTCTAAGGAAGCCTTAGCGTGAAACTTCAAAGGCACAAATGTCAGCTTTCATAAAACATACAAATTTGAAATTGCTACTCTCTGTTTGTAGTAGCACAGCAAACAAGGAGTAGCAATTTCAAATTTGTATGTTTTGTGGAAGCTGACATTTGTGCCTTTCACGCTAAGGCTTCCTTAGAGTATCACCTTAACCTATTATCGTCAGCGGGTAAACAAAGTCCTAGAGCACTCAAATTTGGCCAATAGATGCTCTGAAACACAATGTACCCACATGCCAAAATTGAGCTCTCAAGGACGCTGTTTACCCCCTGACGATAATAGATTAAGGTTTCCCCTAGATCATCGCTTTTCAACGTTCCACTACCATGTGGTAAAGCTACTGTGTTACCTAACTTATAACGAATATACGTTGTATACGAGTACTCCGAATACAACGTATGACTCGTATAATTTTGCAGAGCATTTGCAATGCAAAATTAGACTAACTATACGTTGTATTCGGGGTGCTCGTATACAACGTATATTCTTTATAAGTCAGGTAACACAGTAGCAGCAACAATCAATACGAAACTATCGATTTTAAATTGGCTCACTACTTGACTACCCTATTGGTCCCAAGCAAACGATTAACGTACCCCATTCTAGTCGAAATTCTTGTACTACACAATGTTTGTTTTGATTCGCTATGAAAGTTTGACAGATAAAATGAGGGGTTAGTGGATTTTCCTATGTTTCGAGGGGTGAATCGATTAGCTTGGGACCGAAAAGAGTACCAGAGCTGAGCCAAAAAGTTGAGCACGTTTCTTCGGAACCTTCTAGTCTTAGAGTTACCTAAAAACTTCACTGATATCTACTGTCTAAAATCTCTCTATTGTTCGCTTGTTCGATCGACGCTTGAGTATTGTTCAGCGGTTCGGAAACCAAACTACAACAACGGTGCCGAGAGAATTGAATCTGTTCAACGTCGCTTTCTTCGCTTTCCGTTGCGTAGATTGCCTTGGAATGATCCGTTACGAAAGCCGTTGCCAATTTATCGACCTAGAACTTCTCCGGACTATAAGAAACACAAGCAGAGCCCTAACCGTGGCCGATATCCTACATCGAAGGACAGATTGCGAGGCTATCCTGAGGCAAATTGACCTGAATGTTCAACACCGACCGCTTCGTAATAACCTTCTACCATAATCATTTATAAGTCGTGTTGATGGAATTCATTAGTGTTTTATAAAATCTTCTTGGAATTCTTAAGTTAATTTGCCTCAGTGTGTCTCAACCCTTCAGAAACGGCCATCGGTAAGCGAACAAAAGCTGCGGCCGTTTCACGACTAAAGCCCTTACTGTATACAGGGCTTTATTCACGACTAGACAGCTGCTGCCAAACAGCTTCGTGTCAAACCGATGTACCGCACATCGGTGTCAAACGACGGCAAAAGTTCCCCTGGCGCAATGAATTTATATAAGGTCCGGGCCAACAGGCAGCTTGCTGGTGTTAGAAGCAAAAATACTGTAATCATTGTTGAGCACTCAAGTGACGACGTCACTCTACCATAACATTCCATACTGCGGAATAGTGACATTTACGTCACTGCCAACAGTTTCACTAGCACCAATAAACCTGTTGGCCAGGACCTTATGTAAAAACATTGCCCCTGGCGTACTCTCGCGTCCCTTTCCATTACGTCACCTCCGTCATCCACCGCAAGCTCTTGCCGATGTCGTGCGCCTCTCGTATAGCTACAGCTGTGTGTGCGCGTATCATTCTCAAAACATCCCTCTCCTTCAACCGCGGGCCTCCTCGCACCGCCAGAGAAACGCACCCATTATCTACCGTCACCACCACAGCAGCGAGCTTTATTTGACAGACGAGTTCAGTGTTCAGTCAGTCGTATTTTGGAGGAAATGAACTACGGAAAGCAACAACCTTCTTATTGTGTTTTTTCGATTGCCATCGAATGTGCAGAATTCGGTCGTGGAAAAGCATCTACCGTCGTCGAGTTCCGCCGTGTTCCGTCGTAACCGTGTCGTGTGGTTGTTCCGTCGCGAGAAGGAAGTGTTTTGAAAGTGAATAACGCAATCCCCTAGCAGGATTGCTAGCTACCCAGAAAGCTGGTGGAAAATTACCCCCCTTATTTGATTTGCTATACGCAGTGTGTCTGTGGTGCGTTATTATTATTGTTACGAGTGCGTGAATCTAGCGAGAAGAATTACAATATTGAAGAGGCAATTATTATCTGGAATATTGTTGTGTGTGCATCGTCGAAAAGTGCAGCAGAAGGCTGCGAAGTGCAAGCTTTTGGGAGCTCGACAGTGATCAAGTGATGGTGTTTTGATGCTGACCCAAAGTCGTCAGCAGCCAAGGCAGAGTAGAGTTGTTGGTAGTGTTATTGCAACAGCAAGCCTCCCCGAAGGTCATTCAGGAAAGTATTGCTTCGGCAAAGTGGTCGACAGTGATTCTCGCCGTTCCACGTAGTTCTGGAAGATCTGAGTGAATAGGGCAGTAGCCAGTAAATACCTTTTGTTCCGGAAGGTGCATCAGCAAGAAGCTATCTCCTTCCCAGAGCGCCGAGTGTTGAAAGGAAATCGCGTTTTGTGAGTAAATAGTTGTATGTGTGAAGCAGCACCAATATTATCGATACAAACGAGTGAGAAGTCAAATTTCTAAGGATTTCGTAATACAAATATACAGTGCTATTCGTGCGATCTATTTTCGTAAGCCATTATCAGTGCGTTGCTTTTTGTTTTGGAATCGTGTACCATCTCCTGGATTAGCAGCCTACTCTACTACTGAAGCAGGATCGAATTTTAGTGAAGAAACCATTTGCAACTGGATTAAGCTGAGGAGTATAACGAAACGAAAATGACGAGAGCTACGACAGTAAAACCAAAACCAGAAAAAGAGAAACGAAGGTGAGTGTCGTTATTATCGGAAGGCAGTCGTTGCGCTGCTGTTAGTAGTGTGATTATGTTATTATGATTTTTGGACGTTGGCAGCGTGTGCAGATGGAACGGAGGAAGCTCTTACATACTTCCATTTAGGGCCACCGCTGCTGATAAGACGATCCAGGATTTTGTTTATTATTTTGATGTTTGTTTGTTTCGGACACGTTTTCAATATCATACAGGCAGATCTTTTCGTCTTGTTTTAAGTACGATTACCTGCATTAAGTAAGTGTCGTTATTCGCTAGCTTTCTGACCTGACGCTAAGGCCTTCCATGCCTTCAATCGCATTTTCCCTTATTTTTATCATTCGTTGAAGAATACAGCACGAAGGTCAATACAAATTTAATTCTACCTACGGCTCCCGAAAGCTAGACCTTAAGCTATTTTTAGATGAATGACTCGTCAGCTGTTGCATATGTTTTGTCTGGAATTTTCGATAATAGCAAATAATCTGCAATGACGATTCGGTATAATGCATGAGTGTCACTCGTGACAGCGAGTTGCGTTACCTCACTCGCGGCGCAAAATAGGCCTCAAAGACGCTGGCAAGCTGATTTGAGTGTCCATTAGTCGTTCTGAGTAGTAGGAAAAATTGCTCAACCACCATCCAAACTTGTTTCCCATTGAAATTTTAAACTTCAACCAAGCAACCAAACATCAAAATAACACGTCGATTAACGTGTTTAACGGTCTTTCAATTTTACCTGCGAATATGTACTTAACAACTGAGCGTAATCAGAAAGCGTAAAGGGCGTCGTTGTGCCTGATTGATCGAGGCACATTTCGAGTATGAGACACGGGACAACAGGATTTGAGTTTGTTTTTTTTATCAAAGTCGCTTTAACACTCTTAGGTCCGTCCCGTAGGCCATTCTTAAGCACCTTTCCGAAGGTGGGAGAGCTTAATCTCATGCTGTCTGTAGGCCAGCTTGGAAGACCAAGACAGTTGGAGGTTGGTTGGTTGTCTTTATTAAGGAAATAAAAAATGAACAATAAAAACAATTGTATAGACAAACCCTCCCCCTCCCAACTTTAAGGGGATTTCGGAAAGAAATAATAATACAGTACACAGATATGCTATCAACAATTAACATTTATTTATATTTTTATTCTATAAAAAAGAGCTATTTAATATATATGTATTAGTTTAATTCTCCCATCTAGGCGAATCTAGAAATAAAATAGATATTAGTAGTAGTTTGAATGAATGAATATAACTATGAAATAAATAAATATAAACGATACGATATTAGAGGGAACATAGGATTTCCCTCAAACCAAACAGTGCGACAGTCGTCAATGCTATCGTCGTTCTAGTCCAGCTCCATTCAAAGTGTTTTTTTGCTGAACCGCCAACTAAATTGTTTTCAGTAATCATAGTAGGCTGGCCTCTACACTGACAGTTGTGCTGCTCCTGATATTCTGTTTGCATTTGTTTTTCTTTCCGTTCCGTGTCCGGTCGTCCTTGGCCATCCCAATCAATCTGCAGTGTCGCATCCCGTTAACTGTTTGCACGGATGCACTCTACAACCGGTGGCCTTGCAACGACATTGTCTTGCTTTTCCATCGTATCAACTTTATCCGTCCCAAAATTCGTCCCCTGTTCTGCAGATACGGACCTATCCATCCGTGTGGCACTAATCCACTCGTAAATGGCTGTTATCGATCCCAGGTGAGCATACTTCTGCATAAAATCCGTCATAGCCGACGGCCGGTCATTCCGGACCTACAGTGTCCGGTTGGCATCATTCATAACCCCTTCTTCACCGATCAACATATCCGCGCTCGTTTCAGGCATCGACATCATCATATTTGCCTGCATCGATTGAACGAACGTCTTCTCTCTCAAGCCTTCAACAGTTGTTATGACGTTTGTGATGGGTGTGCTACGTAATATAGAGGCTTGCACACAACAGCGAGGTTCCCATGGAGACGACGGGTCTGGAAAAACTTCCCTCAAACCAAACAGTGCGACAGTCGTCAATCCTGTCGTCGTTCTAGTCCAGCTCCATCCAAAGTGTTTCTTTGCTGAACCGCCACCTAAATCGTTTTCTGTTATCATAGTGGGCTGGCCTCTAAACTGACAGTTGTGCTGCTCCTGATATTCGGTTTGTGCTTGTTTTTCTTTCCGTTCCGTGTCCGGTCGTCCTTGGCCATCCCAATCAATCTGCACTGTGGCATCCCGTTTACTGTTTGGACGGATGCACTCTACAACCGGTGACCTTACAAATTTGGTGATTCTTTGCAGCGTGGGACCTCTCCCTGCGCTTTAAGTTTTATGTTAGCTTGTAGGTCCTAGGTAAGTGAAGTATTCTTCTCAAAGAATAAAGAAAGTTTGAGTGCTTCTAACTATACGTTTATTTAGGTTGAAATCTACACTTCGAATGGCTAATTTTTCCATCTCGGTCGCAGCTGTAGGTTGCTGCGATTACTTGAATTGAACATCGTGATTACTTGGATGGAACATGGTGAGCATTATTCAAAACACTATCGAACAGGTACCAATTTCGTTCGCAGGCATCAAAAGTGCAACACAGGCAGATGAACCACTACAAGCGGTGCTGCAGTTCATTCGTGAGGGTTGGCCAAACGATGCACGATCAGTCGAAGATCCAGAGATTCGAGTCTACTTCAACAGGCGGGAGTCTCTCACCAACGTCGATGGCTGTATACTGTTCCACGACAGGGTAGTCGTTCCGAGCAAGTTCAGAAGGTAAATCCTGAAGCAGTTTCATCGCGGACATCCCGGCATGGTATGAATGAAGTCTATTGAACGCAGTTTCGTTTACTGGCCCGGAATCGACAACGACATCGAGAATTTCGTCCGGCAATGCACTCCCTGCTGCACTGCTGGAAAAGCACCAGTCAAAACAACGCTTGAATCGTGGCCCATCCCTGATAAGCCGTGGTCACGCATCCATATTGACTACGCAGGACCTGTAGACGGCGTATTTTTCCTGGTAGTTGTCAACCCGTACACCAAATGGCCCGAAGTATACGCAACTAAAACCACAACGACAAGAACAACAATCAACCCGAAAAAAATAATTATAATAAAACAACGAAATTACAATGATTTTTACTGTTGAATTTCGTGTACATTAAAATTTATTGTTAAATTATTGTACGGGAGAAAAAATGGATTTCGATTTTTAACGATACAATGCTCAAACAACGAAAATTAGTGTGATGAGATCAAATTTGTTCGAGAAAAATCACTTTTTTATATTGTTAAGATGCTTAACAACCCCCCTTTTTTACTGTAAATTTCTCAAATACCATGATTTTCATTGTTGTGAACCATGAATTACGTTGTGATTTTATGGTGATGGACAAAAATGTCCAATGTTTTGACAGTAAATAACATGGTTACAATGACAATGAAAATTATTGTATTTTTATTGGATTTTTTTTTACGGGAAGCTACTTACTCAAACGTTCGCAACGTTTGGCGTGCCAGAAACCATCGTCTCAGATAATGGTACCCAGTTCACCAGCTACGAGTTCAAGAATTTCTGTGAGAATCAAGGCATTCACCACGTCCGCACAGCACCATCCCATCCTCGTAGCCAACTGAAGTGTTCTTCTCAAAGAATAAAGAAAGTTTGAGTGTTTCTAACCATACGTTTATTCAGGTTGAAATCTACACTTCGAATGGCTAATTTTTCCATCTCGGTCGCAGCTGTAGGTTGCTGCGATTACTTGAATTGAACATCGTGATTACTTGGATGGAACAGTAAGTTTAGAATTAGTTTCGTTTTAAGTCTAGATTTAATAGTTTTAACTTTGTACCTTCTTTACTAGATTGTAATAGACTTAGAACCATGACTCCCTAATATAAATAACTACTGTAATAATTTTAACTGTAGCGATCAGAAAAACACTACCGATCATGCCGCAAACTTTTATCGAAAGAAAATTTTCTTCCCCGTTTCACTGTTGTTGCCGTTGACAGCTCGAGCCGCCAGCGTTGACGCCTGTCAATCTCATTGCAGCGGCGCTTTAACAGCCGCCACGATCCCTTTGGAAACGTTGGTTGACAGGGTGGCCAGCTCATCGAATCCTGCATCGACACTTGCTTTTCCACCGAACCAACTTTATCCGTCTCAAAATTCGTCCCCTGTTCTGCAGATACGGACCTATCCGTCCGTGCAGCATTAATCCACTCGTAAATGGCTGTTATCGATCCCAGGTGAGCATACTTCATAAAATCCGGCATAGCCGACGGCCGGTCATTCCGGACCTACCGTGTCCGGTTGGCATCACCCATAACCCCTTCTTCACCGATCAACATATCCGCGCTCGTTTCAGGCATCGACATCACAACATTTTGCTTGCATCGAATGAACGAACGTCTTCTCTCTCAAGCTTTCAAAAGATGTTACGACGTTTGTGATGGGTGTGCTACGTTATATAGAGATTGCTAAAGTATGATTGAGTCAGTGATTTGTTTTCATCGGGAAAATTTTCCGCTATGAAGTTTTTTTTCTCGATGAAAACATTTTGCGTATACGTATACGTGACGTAGTGTGCGTACGATAAACGTCAGCAATCTCTAATCACTCACTCGACAAAAAGTGACCCAACAGCGGGGCCCTGTTTACTAAAAATGAACACATGTGTTCATTTTTAGTAAACAGGGCCCCGCTGTTGTGTCACTTTCTGTCGAGTGAGTGAACTCAAATCCATCCGTGCACTCGTCTACACAGAAAAACAAAACTACCCACCGCTTAGGTTTTTTGAACTCAAATTTGAGTTATTTGACCTCTGCCCGTTTCATTTTCTCTCGCTATTGTTGTCAAAAATAGAACGAAAGATTCGACTCAACCGTCTAGTTCCGTACGAGAAGCCAAAATTGAGTAATATGCAATATTCCCAAATTTGAGTTAATTGAACTTAATTTTGGGTAGAAAAAATTGAAAATAACTTAGCGATGGGTAATTTTTTTTGCCGTGCTTAAATGCAAA